GGGGGGGGGAGGATGCGTTTGTCCCCAGCGCGGCGCGGCTGTGCCCAGCAGCTGGGAGCAGCCCTCGGGCCGCAGCCCTGGCACCGCACCTTCATGGCCGGCCGCGGGGCCAGGCTGCGTCTCCACTGGAGGACAGGCTGAATTTTCTTGAATGTACTTAACAGAAGTACTGTCAGTAGTAACACGAAGCTCATTGTAAAAGAATTACCAGAACTGCAGCCTGCTCACCATACATACCTAGTATTTTTAAAATAGGTCCCATTTTTAAGGAGTCAGACTTCCTGCTGCTTCCCATTTTCATCTAGATTTCGCCGTGGCATTAATAACTATTGGCAAATTGTGCTTCCACTCTGTGAGGCAAGTGCCACTTTGGTCCCCCTCTTCTCAAGGGGGAAGGAAAGCAAGCTGCTGGAACCAAGATTTATTCATTAAGAGCTGAATTTTGCCCTCAAAACCAAAACCCTCATGAGCAGCGTTTCTTCTGCCGTGTAGTTCGGACCCAGTTAGCAGCCCACGACCCGTTCATAACAGTTTTTAAGCATCAGCATTTGAAGCACAGAAAACCACAACCAAAGAGGCAGATACTGGTCATGAAGATTTGCTGCTAGCAGATTTTGAAGGGGGAAAAAAAAAAAAAAATCGAATGTTTAGTACCAATGATTTTCACTCTTTGTCACTGGATTATTTTTTTAAATAAAAGGTATTATCAGTGTGCATTTACAATACCTGGAATTCAGCTTTAAAAATTTAAAATGGTTTACTACCCCCTCTTCCCAACGCTAACAACCTATGGTACAGGCTAACAGATTAGTTTTAAAGGCGACTGAGTATTAGGTACTATAATTAAGACCATTTTAAATATTATTTTTCTTTAAGAAAAGTAAAATCAGACAACTCTGAAGTTGTGCTCTCAAATTAAATAATCGCCATCAACATGCAGCCTTCGGGACTGCAGGCCAGGATATACGCACCTTAAAGTACACAGTGATATGAAAAAATGCGAACTATTAGTTGTGTCAGTATAACAAGGCAAGGCAGATTTCTTTTTTTGGTTAAAGCTCCCGCTCCTGTTCTGTGAAAGGCTTTTCAAACTGCCAGAAACTCCACACCGTGCTGCCAACGTTTGTTTTTCATTGCTTGCTTTCCGTGGCGAGACCAGGAAGCTTCACGGTGTCTGGAGTCACTCGGCGCTAGCGCTGCCATCGTGACAGACGCGTGCATTAGCAGCTCCAGTGGCCAGCACCGCTGTCAGCGAGGTTAACGTTACCCTTTGGTGCCAAGAAACCAAGATCGACGAGCACAAGGAGCTGACTTCCATCACGAGACCATCGCGACGGCGGTCCCCGGATCCCACGCAGAAGAGGGGTTTCAGTTTGTGGTGAGAATTTCTCCTTGCACAGTATTAGTTTTGTAAACAGCGTCAGAAGTTCTTGTACAAAATACTGCAATGACAGTGATTAAGACACACCTGAAGGAGTGTGTTCAGCGTTCTTTTCACAGAAAAAAGTGGCTAGATGCTGACTGCCCATTTCCAGGTTCCCTTAAGGCCACAGCGTCCTTGGGCCTGAGATAGAAGGCCGGATACTGCCTTTAGGAGATGGCTTCGACCCGAACCAGGACATCTAGGACAGGAAAGCACAACACACGTCATGCTAGGTTCACATTTTTCAGAAGCTGAAGATTTGAAAAAGAAAAGATATGGTACATATGCATCTCCCCATCACCTGATGAAAAGAGCTATTTCTGAAACAGAGCACTGCAGACTTCAGACTGCAGCAGTTTCACACAATCAGACCTGGCAGAAGCAGTTTCCACAAGTGAAGATGACTGAAGATTACACTTACATATATTCCTTTAAAATAACTACAAATTACAAATCCTCAGTCACTTCAACACAGTACCTGTAGTCAATCTAGTATGAAACTGTTCCCTGAACAAGACGGTGAGGGCATCTCCCTCAGCTGCAGTCCTG